CCATCTCTCCAGCCCTAGTCCTGAGCTCAACCCTCAACTCTCAGCGTGATCCATGAATCATATTCCACAAATGTAAATGAGAATGGTGCCCTTGTGTTTTCTCAGGCACTACTTGGAGAAATGCTAAACTTTTCCCTCCTTCATCTTCCTCCTTGCTCCTCTTCCAGCCCATTTCATGGGGTTTCAATGCTGATATCTTTGTGCCCTTGTCCTGTGAGCTCCTGGGAAGAGGAGGTTTGGTCCTTCCCTGCAGGTGGGCAGGAGGGGCCACCCCTGTGGGACAGGCAACGAGCCCCAGCCCAGCCCCACCGTGGGCTTCAGGCTGAGTCACTCAACACCTGCTGCCCATGGCACCAGAAAGGAGCAGGGAAGACCAAATGAATCCCTCTTGTATCACCATGGACTAAAGAGCTCCGAATTTTCCAGCAATGAAGATCCAGGAGGGACAGAATGGCAATAAAATCTCCTTCAAAGCACCAAGTTTCTCATATCCGATTTCTTTCCTTGAGCAATATCTGGCATTCCTTGAGATGCTGAAATTTGGGAAGTTTACTTTTTACTCTGAGTTTGCAGCATTGCAGTCTTTGGCCAGAAAATTCAGCTGTTAAAAATGTCTACCTCTTCTTTTTTTTTTTTTCTTTCTTCTTTTCCCTTGCTTTTGAAGATGGAAGCAAGGAAATCAGCAAAAGTTCAAAAGTTTAGGTGAAAGGCAATTAAATGTTCAAGAAGGGAGCAGGGAAAAAAGATGGATTATCCTAGGAAAAAGAGAAAGTTGTATATCTGGAAAATGTGGGTTGTGAAAGCAAGACTGCATAAGCAGATTTCCTTCCTTGTGCAGGGGCACAATACACGTTATCTCATCTAGAGCTCTCACCTAATTCAGAACAAGTGTTATGGCAGACAAAAAGTGCTCTAGAAATGAATAACCAGATAAAATGTTTTGTGTACAGGGAAGAGAAATGATAAAGGAGAGTCATATGGGAGGCAGCATAGGTGCATGTGGGAGGTCCAGTGTCCAGTCCCAGCTGTGTCACTGGTCTTCTTGTGATTTGGGTCAGCTGTCTCCCTCTACCCAAGCAAAAGTTAGTTCACTTGGGGGGTTTGTGACTTGTTCTTTCTTTGCTTTTAATTTTTATCTGTGAAAAATAAAACTATACAACAATTTTTCTACTTGAAAATCCAACACAATTCCTATTTTTTTCTGTCCTCTCTATGCAGACTTAAACCTTAGGGTAGAAAATGTGTACTTAATAGAGTTTCCATCTATCTCCTCTCCACACAAGTATTGGAATTTTATGAAAATAATCTGATTCATGCTCCCACCTGAATTTGGTTTTCTTTTTTTTTTTCCTCCAGTATCCTGGCTGAAATAATGTCTTTATTTCACAGTCACAAAATTAAATATACTTATAAATCTCCATTAAAAAAAAAAATCACTGTGAAATGAAACCTGCTTTCCTGTTCTCTGGCTGTTTGGAGAGCAGCTCCTGAGAAGTGCTGCACAGAAGTAGCCACTGGGCACAGACTTCTTGGCCATCCTGGGTCTGCTCTGGGCACACCTGAGTGCCTTGTGCTGGCCCCTGCACCACGGGGATCTGGTGCACAGGGATCAAGCACTGCTCCTCATCTCTGGGCACCCTGCTGCCCCTGGGGACGCGCTGCACCCATGGGGAGCCTGGCCACTCCAGAATAGAGGCTGTCCAGCTGGAGGGTGTAAATACCACCAAATCTTTAAAGATCTAAATGTGGTCATGCTCAGCTTTGCCCTTCTGACCATCTTCTAAGAAGTTTCAGCCTTGAATCTACATCTTTCCTAAAAAGGATGGGGGTTTATCAATGATGGTGGGTCAGGAGCCACAGACAGGACTTTATCCTCTATTTCTCTCCAGGTCACCTACTTAGGTATCCTGCCTCCTTTCTGTGCAACACTCTGTGTCCCACTCCCCCTTTCTGCTGATATTCCTCCATCCCACTACATTTATGATACTTCTTGGAGAGAGAACATTTGTGTTTTTTGTCTGGTGGTCCAATAGCAAGCAGAAGGTGCCAGTAGGATTTTATGAAGCCTGTTCAAGGCAAACACAGTGTGAGTCTCTTACCTGCAGCTTTGTGGGCCTCTAACCCAAAGCAGGAACTGCAGAGCCCTGTCAGTGGATTTGTAAAACCTCAGTGGCAGGGAAATGTAACACCTGAGAGGTTGGGGTGATGGGCTGAGCTGTGGAAGACTTGACATCTACATGGCAGCCTACCTTGAGCCTCCTAAAGGAGTAGGAGGGCACGAAATAGACTCAAGAATTTGGGTTGGAGTACACAGGAAGGTGTCACTCTGTGAAAATGTTGCACTAAGAATTCAAATTCATGAAACTCAGACTGCAGAGAGTGGCAATGGATGCAACTTCTTGCAGCGTGTTTTCTTGTGGTAGTGAACAGATACTACAAAGATGTATAAGGGTGGGACACAAGAGCAAACCAGGAAACTGTAGAGCTGCAACAAGGAAAATCTGTTCTCTACTGTAGCAGAAAGGCACAGAATGAGAAGAAAAGATGACTGATTTCAATTATTATTATGGGCAATTGAACAATTTGAAAGAAGGATGGTAGGTTTGTAGTTTTGGGGTTTTAACTTTCCCCTCCTTGTTTCTTTTCAGAACATCAGGTAGGTTTCTTCTATTCCTACTGCATTTTCAAACTTCTCAGCAGTTTTACACAGTCTTCTGATTTGGGTACTTTATCTTGGAAGGGTCCTCTGGGAGTGATCTAGTCCAGCTTCCTGCTCTAAGCATGGATATTTTCGAAGTTGGATCAGGATTCTCAGCACCTTGCATAGCTGAGTTTTGGAAATCTCCAAGGATAGAGATTTTGCATCTTTGTGGACACCTATTCCTGCACTGACTGACCAACATGCCCACACACTCTGGTTTGTCTAGGCAATCTCCCCTCTGTACAGGGACACAGGAAGTGCATATAACAGCACAGAATATCTCTGTTTTCCTTCATATTCTCATCATATCCATTTTTAAATTATTACAGGCCTATATATATAAAATGAAGCACCAGTTAAGTTGGATACTCCATCATAATTCATTGGGGAAATTAGGCACAGTTCAGCTTCTACTAAAATCAGCACACATCTCCCCAAAGACTCCTCTGGAGGATTCAACTCAGTACCCAGAACTTTAAGGCACGTCCATCTTTTCAGAAACCTGTTTCTGAAAATAGCCAATACAGCTGTCTCAGTTTTTTCCAGGTTCATGCTTGGTCTTTCCTTCCACATTTCGCCAGCAGATAAGGTCTAGAGAAGTCACCTCTCTGGATAACAAAGGAATCCATTCCATCAATCAGCTAGACCTTTAGACAACAAGCAAAGCCTGAACTCTAAAACTGCTTGTTCTGCTTGTGTTTTTGTGAAGAGCAAGCATGATCCTGTCATACAGCTGAGCCAGCTCATGAGCACTGTGAGATGAGAGAGCAGCTCTGTCAGATCTGAGCTACTCCTGCTAAGAGAGGCTTATGTGCCTTGTAAGATAATGTTGGTCCACTGGAACACTCAGCACATGGACTTTCAGACAAAGACATAAAAATCCTTTTCCTCTGGGCTTTGCACTTCCTCTCAATATTTTTTTGTTGTTGTGTTTCTGCTTGTATATTTGTTTGTTTTCACATTTAGAGATGAATTTAAGTATGAGCTCATCTGAAGTTGACATTGGAATAGCCAGAAATTGTGCGTACACAATCAACTGATCAAGCCCAGCACGGCTCAGGGAGAGCTGATTCTGTCCTGCACAGAGAATCACAAGATTGATACAAAAACCAAACATAATCTTTCTTTACACTTCAGTTTACTGTTTCAGTGTTTTTTTGACCTGGCCTGCAAAGCTGGCATCTCTGGAAGACTTAGCAAGAGGAAAACTGAACAGATGATCAAGAAGCCATCTGTCCTTAAGCTTTCTCTAGTGGCTTATATGCAAATAAGTGTCTTGATTTCCAAATACAGTACTTGCTTCCCAGTATGATTTCATCTTTCCTGCTTGATTATGTCAGAGCTTTTAATCTCAACAATTAATTTTGCCAAATGGATATGATTCTTTAAACACACCCCTCCCTCCCCCTCCATTAAAATTAAATCTGAGATTTGGGGTTGCTTTAATCAGGAAGAAAAATGTAATATTTTATCTCCCTATTTCCCCTAGTTAAATCAAAATGGCCCTTTAAGGCATTGATAAATGGTTTCTGTGGTACTATGACTATCACGAGGGACTCAAATGGGATTTGAGAGTAACTGCTTCAAGAAGATGTATATCCCATGGCTGACCAAGCAAAGACAGAATGACTGTAATTTCTCCCAGCCAAAGACAGCTGGCTGTGATGAGACAAGGTGTCTCATAATCCTATGAGACTCTTTTTACACTGTTTACTCTGGAGATATGGCTTGGGTCTTCTCTACTGGAAGATTAACGAGTGAGAAGTGATTTGTTTTATGCAAGACTGTAAAACTGAAAATAAAGTGAAAAGAAATATGACATTTTCTTACTACCTAGAGATCTTGGCTCTGCAAAATTCCAGCCCTACAAATGCTGTTTTCCAAAACATTCTGGTGAAGCAGCTAACACTGAGTACATTTGATAATCTGTGGTAATTCAGAACAGGGCAATTTTTACCTGGGATTGGCAATGACCCACACTCAGAAAAACTGTGTCTCTTGAGAGATGTACACTGGAATGTGATGGGTAGGAAGGACTGAGCTGTCAGAAGTTACAAAACTACAAAGTTCGCTTGTTCTGTTTTCCTGTTTTTCCACTTTAATCAAGGCTAACTGGTTTTAAAGCTCTAACTCTGAGTGATATCAAGTCCAAAAAATACTCCTTTCATCTTGTTTTCTCACTCTTTTACACAAGTTATGGTTGGCAAATGTCTTTTGTAGTCAGCTACCTTGGGGAACTTTTCAAAAGTTTGCCGAAGACATTAGATAAGACCTAGAAGTTACACCCCAGACCAAACAACATCAGTCTCATCCGTACCTTGGAGCTGCCTGAACATGGCATTAATCACAGAGCAGCAGGTAGTCTTGATGGTGTATCAAAAGTAATGCTAGAGAATGTGACATGTATCACAATGAAGAAAATGCAGCTCACTGCACATCACTTTCTAAAGCATTGACATCTGCTGCCAGGCTTGTCATCACTGCATTACCTTTGTGATCAATAGGGAGAAATGGGAGCCGTTCATCTCATCCACCATAGGCACAGTGAATCAGTCTGCTCCTGCCTGCTACCTGGAAAGGGAAGTTAAGGTGCCAAGTTCAAATGGAGACATCTGAAGTGATGATTATCCCTCTGTTGAGGCTCTTAGTGTGGCCTCACCCTGAGCATTCTGTGCAGTTCTTGGCCCCAACAATTAAGAAGGAAGTCAAAGTCCTTCAGAGTGTTCAGAGAAGGACAACAAAGCTGGTAACAAGGCTGGAAGGCACATCCTGTGACAGGTCCTGTGAGGGGTGGCAGTGGACTCTGGGCTTGTCTAGTTTGGAGAAGAGGCAGCTGAGCACCAACATCATTGCTAGAGCTTCCTGAGGAGGGCAGGGGGAGAGGGCTGAACTCCTCACCCTGAGATCCAGTGATAGCATGTGGGAATAGCTCAAGGGGACACCAGGAGAGGTTTAGACTCTCTGCATTTCTGTACCAAGAGAGTGACCAAGCACTGGAACAGGCTTCCTGGAGGGGTGGTAAATGCCCCAAGCCTGTCAGGCATTTGGATAATGCCCTTAACAAAATGTTTAACTTGGTCAGCCCTTGGATTGGTTAGGCAGTTGGGCTAGATGATTCTTGTAGGTCCCTTCCAACCAAAATATTCTGCTCCATTCTGTTCTGTTCTACGCTGTTCTATTTCTTTCCTAGTCAGTGTCTAAAGACTGGCACAGATACTGCCCTACGGTCCTTGTTTTGCCCTTTTTCCTCAGAGACCCTTGCCAAAGAAAAATGAGATGCCAACTTACAGGCTTTGCTGACGTGTTTTGAGGAGTACAAAAATCTCACACAAAAGGAATTACTGTTATTCATTTCATTTACAGGTGTCACAATGACATTTTTCTCCCCTTAGGACTGAACTTACAATAAGCAGACTGAGAAAGAAAGCAAGGGAAAGGGAGCAGAGGACAAAGGTCTTTTGCCAGTGAAATCCTTCTGCAGGATGGCGTGGGAGGAAGGTGCCAGTCAAGCCTTGTCCTGAACAGAGCTTACCCTGACATGCAGCTGCTGCTCACAGAGGAAATATTAGAAGGCCAGGACAGAGGTGAAGTGAGGTGATGGCTGAACAGTCCCCATGGGACTGGCTTGCTTATCAGTGCTCTGCCTCTGGTAGGACCCAGAAGATACTGAAGAAGTTCTTGTTCTAGTGCCTACAATATAAAAGCCCCTGTGGGAGACTAAAACGTTATGGTAATCAGCTTAAACACTGCTAAAGAAGCTGTGACCACCAAAGCCCCCTCCCCACTCAGATACACCTCCTGATAGGACCTGGAGTGTGAGCCAAACCACCCCAGGTCTAAGGAGAAGAATTTATCCACAAGGAAAGCCAAATCCAGCAGCTGTCCTGACAATCAGCCCTGCTGGGTTCTGGGTGGGAGGGACCACAGCCCATAGACTCATTTGCTGGTGCCAGACAGCAAACACTCGTTTGCAGACACTCCCCCCAAGCAGGGAGGGAGAAGGAAAGTGTTTTGGTGTGTGGTGTAACCTCTGGTCAGAGGGCATGAGCACCCATCGTGCCTTACACAAACTGTCTCCATTGTAAAACCCCCCCCAATGGGAAGGCCACATAAGACACAGGACATTTATGTGAGAGGCAGCTGAGGAGGTGTCATAAACCATCAAAGACACCCAAAGCACCCCCAGACTCATTCCAGAGGGCTGCATGTGATGCCAAATGATGCAACAGATTCAGTCTTTTGCAAGAGACAGTTCCAAACTTGCCCCTAACAAGTGAGGTGCCTGGGTATTCCCACCCAGTCTGAACACAGATTAATCCACTGAACTCTGAGTTTAGCAGGGCACCCAGCACTGAGAAGACCAGAAGAGGATTAACAAGACACTGTCAGGATCCAGGGAGTGGTGATGTTTTCTACTTAATCTGTCTCTCTGTCACTCTCTTTCTCTTTTCCCCACTCCCTTTTTCTATTTCTTCCTCTCTCTTTCTTTCTCTCTCTCACATTTACTGTTAAATACAATCTATACTATTGACTTGGGCATATGGTCTCACTTGCACCTTGATCAGGGCAGAAGCATATCAGTAACAACTTTAATAACTGGATCTTTATACCCACCTCCCTTCTGCATCCTGAGTATGGAAATGTGTGCACACGTATTGCTTTCTCTAACAGATGCAGTGAGAAAAATACCTTTGTATTCTGTCTTGCAATTTTGAGACTTCATATTTTCTATCAGTTGGAGAAAACCTCTTCAAAATCCCTTAATCAAATGTGTCTCTTTATGAGGTGCATTGGTTTACACCAGAGATGTATCTAACATTTCCTGCCTTTGCCACAGAAAAGTCAGTAACAAGAGCAAAGACACTTTACTGTAAGAGGAAACACAGGGAACGTGTTCATCCCTCCTGAATGTGCACACAAGGTCATTACTGGCATTACAGTGTAACATTTTTAAGATTGATCATCTCCTTTTAATTGCAGAAACACAGAAGGTAGCATCATAGATTATGACTAGAAGTCATTTGCCAGATAGACACTGCAATAGCAAATTAACCTGAACTTTCTTTGCAATTGGAAAGGCAGTCACAATATATGTGCTCCTGTTTAGACCACCTACCCATGGGCTGTCAGGGGAAAAGCTATTTGAGCAAAATTGGAAAATGCTGCAGAACAGCATGCTGGCAAAATAATCTCTCTTAAGCCAGTATCCTGCCAAGTGAATTTAGGGAAGAAATTTAGATCTGAATAAAGAGATAGACTTTATTTAGCTGTAGCTGAAAATATAATGACTAACATTTTTCCTTTGAAAATTATTTGTTTTGCAGAATTCAAACTTCTCTTAATTTCTTATCACACAGACAAAGGTGGAAGTGCCTGTACTGGTATAAGATTTCAGATTTCCTGGTTGGTTTGGGTTTTTCAGTTTGGAATACAAGGTCAGAAATGCTACAGTTTCCCAATGGTGGAAACAGCCATTTCTGAGGAACTCAAAGGATGGAAATTAATTGGAAATGTCCTACCCAGACTGATTTCAGACCTACTGCATGCCTTTCATACCCTTCTTGAACAGTTATAAATTTGCAAAATGAACACATTTTGTGGAAAAATAAATAACAGAAACTGCAAGAAGCTTCAGAAGAAAGACAAAGAGAGGGGGCTAGATCTACAGAAGAAACCAAGTGAAAATTAGTCACCGACATACCAGAGTATATTAGGGTGAGCAGCTGAAAACCAAAAGATTTGGGGGCAACTTATCTGTGCCTCAGAATTTTGTAGGCTCATATGCTGTTGTCAATACCTTTTTCAGTGGAACAGAAAAAGGAACAGGAAAAGGAACAGGAAAAGGAACAGGAAAAGACTAGACTGCCTGTCCTCCTGGTGATACACTGCAAAGTACAGCTCTGGCAGTCCCCGTTGCTGTTTGGGGAGTGAAATGTGGAGTGTTCAGGCACCCCTGAAAATACAAAGATGCAACAACAGTCCAGAAAAGAGACCTGGTTCAGGCACTGCTTCCCCGAAGGCAGGGGTCATAATCCTCCATGTCTATCTCAGTCAGATCAGGGATGTTGCCCCAGGTGACTGTAGAACATTGCAGGTGAAATAAACCAGCATGTCCACATGGGGCAGGAGGTTATAGTTACTGGGCAGTGCAGGGTCTCTTGGGTTAAACTACTCCTTTCCATGGGACCAGATGTGGAGAACAGTATGTCAGAGACCTTCCCCTGGCTTTTCCTAACAGTAGTTATAATTGTCCATTATGTCACTCTAAAGTCTAAAACACTATATAAGTCATATTTAAAGCTGCCTACTTTTTCTTTCCATTGGCAGTGTCAGGAGCTCAGATAGGGAAACAAGCACTGTTGTCATCCAAACGTAGGATGATGTATCTTTCCCTGTACAGCAGAGGTACTTTTGACACAAAAACCAATGTCCACTCTTTTTAAAATGAATTCTCTGCTAAAGAATGTACTTTGACAATATGTTTGTTGGTTTGCATGTAGCATCTAATCAATGAAAATGCTTTGTTCTTCTTGCAGTGCATAGAGCTTTATTTGGTTACACTGATGGTAAATTCCTGCACAGAGTGTGTCAAGGCTGTGAGCCAAGCACCCCTGGGAATCACTGATGGATTGCTCTGGCTGTTGTATGTCTGCTTCTGCCTGCTCCCATTTCTGACATAATCTGGTTACTTTAGGAATAGATCCCTTCCTTCCTTGCCAGAGGCAACTATCTCCAAGTGCCAGCAGGGATGAGGATGAGTGTTTCAGAGCCCTGGAGAAACTAAAAAAAACCTTTGACACAGGCAGTAAATTACATTTTACATTTGGAAGAGTATCTGGCCTCTAAGTGACCTTGCAAACTGTGGGAGCCAAGAGATCCTCAATACATGAACTGGAGAAGAAGCGATACTTCTTATTGCACATTATCTTAATTTTTCCATGAAAAGGGGTGTTCAGTGGGAAGGCAAGAGATTTCCATGAGCTTTCCTGGCTTCTTCTCAATCTCAGGAAACAGAAAGGTTGGATGAGGATGGTGATTTTCCTCCACCTTATCATTTCAAACAAAAATCTGCTGCAGCCACCTGCTTGTCTCCAGGACTTTCTGTTTTGCCTGACTTCTATTTTTAAACTGGCTGAATTCCTCCCTGTAAGGAATTGCCACAGCCAGTGACACCCCTCCCAGTCACACCTCCCAGTTCCAGCCTGCTCTGGACTGTGGATTACGTTTCCTCATACGTTGTGGTCCTGTTGCTATTTTATGTCTGTTTCTCTGGTTCCTCCACAGCACATGCTGCATGGAACTGACTGACATAAAGGAACAAAATCCAGAAATATGTCCCAATTCCTTTTGACTTCTTCCAGGCTACAGAGAATGCTGGATTTTTCTGCTTCCTGTTTTCTTTCCACTTCCTACAGCTGCTCTTATTTTAAACATTATCTTCATATTTGATTACTGTAGTTTGTAATTGTGCATGACTTAATAGTGGAAAAAAACCAGAGCTGTTCATTGTGTTAGTCACCTTGCAAGTGGCTTTCACAGTGATTTATACCTCCAGCCACACTCCCCTAATACACTGGAAAAAGGCCATTTGAGCATTACTGCTCATTCATTCTCATGACCCTAGGCCCTGTGGGGCACATGCATGATCCAGGATCTCGTGGTCCTGTGTCTCAGTTAACCAGGAAAGTATTTTTAGCACAAGTCAACAACTGATTTGTTTCACATCTGAAATGTTTTAGTAATTTGCTTTTTCTTAATTATTATGCATATTTCCTCTGAGTGAGTGAGGGTCCAGTCAGTCAGGATCAGACTGAGCATTCAGCCAGGACAGGACACCACACACAGCTGCAGATCTCCTCACACAGCACACAAAAAGTGGAGTGTAATGAGATTTCAAGTGCTATGTATAATTGCAGTGTACATATCTCTTTTGAAACACTACCTACTTTTTTGTTTAGACATTTTAAACCTGATTTTAATATAATTCCTTTCTAATGCATCCCATACAAACACACATTTGTGGCCTGCTTTTCAGAATCAAGAACCTCTGCTTCTGAATTTTCTTATGACTCTACAAATGTGGTGAGGAACAATAACTGTAGGAATCCAGCTGAAAATATGAGGGTAGATAGGCCAGGACCAAAACCTCAGCTCTAAACACAGGCAGGAGAGAGCCTGCATGTGGTCTGTGCACAGCAGCATTTGCATGCAGATGGTAAAGTCATACCAGCAGGGATTTTGTTTAGTTTTGTGTTGTTTGGTTTGGGTTTTTTTTTCCTCAGTGTTCAGCACAGACTAATCCCAGTGTGCAAGACAATAATAAATGTTGAAAAGAAATTTGTCACATGAGTTCAGGTCAAGCCAAGCCCTAATCCTTCATTTCCCCAAAGTCTATGATTTCTGTATCTTGAATCATCTATCTGGCCACATGCTTACCTATAATCTAAATAAAGAACAGAAGAAGGAATTTAATGTTCACGACAGCATTAAAATCCTTTTCAGTCTCTCATTTCTGCTCAGCCTCTGCTTAAAGGAAAATTTCCTCTACCCCACTGATAGTTTAGTCTTTTAGGCAATTATAAGGGTAAAAAAAAAAAAAAAAAAAAAAAAAGTCCTGCACAATTCTATACCATTACATACAGAGGCATGTCACCCTGTGAAAAAGCAAGAATACACCTAAAGATAGGAATTGAATTGATAATAGTATTTTCTGACCTGTTTCAACACCAAGACCATAGAATATTTAGCTTGGAAAAGACCTTTAAGCTCATCAAAGCCAAACACTAGCCTAATATTGTCTTGCTCACCACTGAACCATCTCCAAGTGCTACATCCACATGTTTTTTTAACAATTCAAGGCACGGTGACTCAGCCACCTCCCTGAACCATCACTGAACCATCCCCAAGTGCTACATCCACATGTTTTTTTTAACAATTCAAGGCACGGTGACTCAGCCACCTCCCTGGGTGCTTGACAGTCTTTTCAGTGAAGGAATTTTTGAAATATCCAACCTAAAACTCCACTGGCACAACTTGTGGCCATTTCCTCTAGACCTGTCACCTCTTACCTGGGAGAAGAGGCCAACCTCCACTTCCATACAGCCTCCTTTCAGGTAGTTGAAGAGATTGAGAAGGTCTCCCCTGAGCCTTCTTTTATCCAGGCAAAAAACCCCAGATCCCTCAGCTGTTCCTCATCAGACTTCCCCTAGATCCTTCCCCAGCTTTGTTGCCCTTTTTGGACATGCTCCAGCCCCTCAATGCCCTCCTTATAGTGAGGTGTCCAGAACTGACCGCAGAATTTGAGGTGTCACCTCAGCAGTGCCAAGGACAGGGCACTGCCCTGCTCCTGCTAGCCACACTATTGCTGGTACAGGCCAGGTGCCATCGGCCCTCTTGGCCACCTGGGCACAAGCTGGCTGTCAGTGTCCCCAGAATACACATGGCCTGATCCCACACTCCTGCAGGGTCCAGTTGCTGTGCAGGTCCACAGCCACTCCAGTAATTTTAGTACCAAATCAATCCAATTTTGCAGCAGTAAAATGAGACACCAAGTCTCTAGTGTTCAGTGCATGAGCAATGCTCAGAGTCCAGGAGCATGGCTCAGAGAGACAAAAATTGTAGCAGAATTAGGCAGCAGCTTGTCAGGGGATGAGCTTTTTTTGGCCTTTACTCAATGGCCTCTATGTATCTAAATATTCCTGCTTTAATAGTCCTTAAGAGAAGACTTTCTTTCCAGCTGCTCAACCCATTTAATCACCTGAGACATGGTTTATGTTTTGCATATTAAAGACCTAATATATCTTGGGAAAAGCTCTAATGCCTCCAATTTGTGTACAAGGGTCTTGGCTTCACAAAAGCACTGGGCATCCTTGTCTTCATGGCAAGCCAAAGCCAGCCCCAGAGCCCACAGGAAGATGATATGCATTTACTGTATAATTGTTTGATTTGGGTTTTCTTAGAGGCCAATGGCCCAGCCTCTGTGACTGGATTTCCCCGTCCTCAAAGGATTTTCCAGAGGCTGTCACACGTCAGCTGTGTGGTTCCCTTGGGTCTGCACCAAGGTGGGTGGAGAAGAACATCCCCCTTGGCACTCCACCTCACCCCACTGTTCCCAGGAAGCTCAGAGTACTCTTTGATCACAAGTTGGCTATGCCACTGAGGCCAGTGGGCAGTATCAAATGTTCTCCCAAAGCGTGTGGAGGTCACGTAGCTCCCAGCTCACACGGACACAAGGCTGTGCAATGTGTTGGGAGTTGCTCAAGGGCACTTGGGCATTCACTGCTTTCTGCTTGCACAGCACAGAGAGGAGTGCACGGTCCAAATCCAACGGGAGCAGCAGGAGGGACACAAAGAGAGTCAGGCAAGCTCTGTGGGACTCCATCCTCCACTGATGTCAGCTGCTTAAGTCCTTTTTTCCCATGTCAGATGGAACTGCCTGAAGCCTGCAAATACCAGGAGCCTCTCTGAAACATGCTGCCTGGGCGAGGAAGGGGCTGGTGTTTGCTAGCTCTCACAGTCCCAGAGACAGGAGGAGCAGCATGGGGGCAAAGAGGATGGGGAAATCCCCTCTATTCAATCATTTGATTATAACTGTTTCCTGAAATCTTTTAAATAACTGTCCCTTCTGTACACAGGCTGGGAGGGGAAGGCAACAGAGATCTACAACAGTGTGTCCAGACTGTGTGAATTCTCCTGACATGATTCAAAAACCTAAACTACAATGTGTAGTCTGTTTTCTTGCCACATTATTCCATTGATGAAAGGAGTATCTTTCACACCAATTGACTGGAACTTCTACAGTGGGAAAATTGTTGTAGTTATGTCCTGCAAGTCTTAAAAGCTGAGTGACAGTGGTAGGGAAAAATCTAGTGTCACATTCACAGGTGTCACATGATCATGGTCCTCCACACCAGAGTTAATAAATGCTTTTGTTCACATCCAGTGGTTACAAGATCAGAACCCACTTGCACAAGAAAATATACAACCATGCACCTGACTGTATTGGCTGTGCATTGAAGTCAGGGCTATGTTGTTGTGCATGTTTCCAAAAGGATAACTGATGTGTATAATCTGGAAAAAGAGTTCAAAGCTTTAAAGTTCTCAAGTAATTTAATTCCATTTCAGAGCATGATTACTGCTAAATTACTTTTATCCTCTAAGTATTTTCCAACATAATAAAGGGTACTGATGAAAATCAGCATGAGTTTGTGGTAATAGTTTATAGACTTAAATCTGGAATTTTGAGGTTGTGGGATTTCTGGTGCACACCTATGTTCATAGCTCCAGTCTTTGGAAAGGTATTTGAAAAATCACTCAATCGTTTCTTATTTTATGTGGATCAGATGATCTGAAATGGTCCTAAGCAAAGCATGGTCCAGACACATAGTGTGTTGAGGAGCTTTAACTGGGAGGATTAACAGCCAGGATTCTTCTGACTGAATACTGACCTGTATGTATCCATGTCTCCACAGGGACTGCATCATCTAGACACGCACAGATGTCTGCAAAGTAGCCTAGAAAGATTTAATAGTCAGTTTTTTTTCTGTTCACAATGGTGTTTAAATAAGCAGAATTACTCCCCACAGGTCTGTCTTCATTGACTACCAGATCAATATTCAAACATGCTCTGTGGCCATCCAAAGTGATTTTGACAAACCTTAGTAAACTTGGCTATTAATAACTGTGTGTTATCAGTCAGAAAGTAATGGGTCAAGCTTTTCTATCTGGTGCCTGAAGTTGGTATTTTCTTCCACTGAATTCTGACCTACTACCTCCCCTTTGGGGCTTTACTTTGCAGTGTAGCAACTTGGACAGTTCAACAGACCAGAGGTGACTTGTTCCTCCATCTCCACTGTTGGGCTACTATCTGAGCCAGTCATTCTGAAAAATCCAGCCTTCACCTACAGCAATCATTTGCATATGTGGCAATTCTTTTCTGTATCTACACAGAAACAATTTACTCTTCATTCAGAAAATTAGGCTAAGCCTCTAAGGAACACAGATTCCTAAACAGGCTTACATTTATTTTCCTTGTTTTTCTGTCTCATTACCATATTATCAATTATACAGCTTAACAAAGACCCATTTAAAAATCTACATTTAGCACAGGTGATGATTGATTGCAGGGCCATGTGGATCCTCAATGGATGGCTTGGCCAGAGACAAATACAGGTATTTGAAAAAAAAGAGCCATTCCTGTCCTTGCAGAATGTGGGGGAAGCACAGGACTATCATCTTGAAAATCTACTTGAACAATGAGATGAGAATTCATTTCCCAATGAGAATAGTCTTTCAACTTGTTCTTCCACACTATAAATCAGCTGAAGGAAGTTGGGGAAAAATTTCGTGGTATTGGTAAACCAAAGATCAATCAGCAGCAACAGCCATGTGTCATGTCATAACACACTTTGCAGTCTGTGTGTGGTCTAAGCCAGACCACCTAATATGAAAATAACAGAAAATGTGGTTTCAGCAGCAGCTGAAGTGAGTTCCTCACACAGATGTGTTTGCAATCTGCAGCACTGACCACAAAGAGCAAAATAAGACAGTATTAACAATGCCCTCTCCATCCAATGCTGTCTTTTCATTCTGTTTGCATGGGACCTAATATCTGTCATGGGCCATTCTGGTCCCTGCCCAAAATCGGACACCAAAATCATGCAGTCATCCAATCCAGAGGGAGAAACCCTGCAGGTACTTCCTGCCTTCTCTGCTCCCAAGTGCTGGAGCAGGGCCTGCCATGCAGTAGCTCGAGAAGGTGTCCTGCTCACACAGCTGTCTTCAACCAGCCACAGTAAACCATGAAGTGATACTTGGTTAGCTCTGAAAAGACACCAGAGCTGAGAATTAGAAACAGGAGACAGGACCTTGCCTCCAAACCAGGAGACCTCTGATTTGAAGGGAGCCTTTCTGTGGCAAAGCACTTGCAAGCTAGATGGTCCCACTGTCTTTGTGCTGCAGGGGTACCAGAGGTGGGAATGGGGCAGAAGAGTCCTGGCCCATTATCTTCTCCATCTGTACCAAAATGTTACAAGTTATACAATTTATAGGTGTATTTTTCATTTCTGTTAGGATATATCTTTCATGTGGTCTCAAAACTATTTTATTCATCTGTCATACACATCCCTTGTTGAAGACAATTATTTTCATAAAAAAGGAAAAAATAAAACCAACCTGCTTTGACACAGGGCTTGATATTGGCAGGGGATGAATTCTTGGTATTACTCCAAGCAAAATGTCTGAGTTGTACACTCCCTGTCAGAGAGAGCATTTGTGTGAATGGTCAGGAGCAAAAATTGGAAAGTCTTCATGAGACTAGAGGTGCAAACACCTGCCTAATGCTTCACAAGCAGCACAGAAGTAAGGATCAGTTGTTTAAAATTCCTCTGGCTGACAACTCTCATGGCTTTACAATATATTTTTCTGAAAGTCCCTGATGCTGAGGTGGGTCATATTTAGCAATGAAAAAATTTCATATTTACCTGTAAGCTGTTCCCATTCTAAACCTCAGTGTGGACCTGAGACTCTTCTGCCTCTCTGGAAATGTCCACAGAACAAGATGTGTTTCAGGAAGGCTTGTTTTCCTCAAACACATGCTGTTAAGTCTCATCCAAGAGTCCAAAGGAGGAAGTCTAAGCTCCTTCCAATCAGACTGTCATAATTAATTATTTAACAGTCTTTGCTGGATTTAATATCTGTGCATTTAAAGAATAAAAAACTAGATGGCAAGTGAAAATAATCCCATTACCTTTTGTTATTGTTTCCTAAATAATCTTTTGGGGGTTTATCACTTTCTTGTTTATTAAATAGTTGGCAAAATTGATAATGGCTTTACTCTTCAGCCTGCAAATATTTTTCCATTTATTTTCTATCTAACATCTACAATACAAAGAGATCAGATAAAGCAGCCAGTGGGATAAATCTAGTGAAGAGTGTAAGCATAGCATTATCAAAGGCAGTGGCCCTAAACTGTATCCTCTGATGGAAGCCAGAAGTTCATTTAGCCCCACAACATCTTCTGTTAGGCTTAGTGTTACTAATTTGGGTTTACAGGTGGGGAAAAAAGGTACTAAGAAGGTACTAAAATATTTATGGCCATTGGGTCTTACATACAGTTGGGAGCTGATGTGGTTTTAGAAAGAAAGACATTTGAGGCCATTTAATGGCCCACATTACCAACGACTGCAGTAGCAAGCAATTTGGAAGATCAGATTTTTTGGTGCTGAGGTGTTTCCTTCTGTGCTGTGTGGTGGCAGCAGAAGGGGTGAAATTCTCATGAGTTTCCACCTGGTCCTCTGTTTCCCCCATCTCTATTGGTTGTGTTATCCCAGGCTCCCCAAGCAGATCTCTTCCACAAACATTTGTCCTTCCACAGGCTCTAAAAACCACTGCACTGAGTTCATGTGTGCCATGCCAGTGTCAGGAGCAAATCATCTCCTTCTCGTCATCATTCATGGGGGGCTTTGCAGCCCCTCACGTTGCTGTGCCCTGCCTTATTTCACTAAGAGGCTGCCATTTATACAAAAATGTCCCAGGCAGCCTTTGGACAAACAGGTGGTTTCATAATTTTGAAGAGGTTAGATTTCACTTTGGAAACAAACCAGGCTGTAAACTGACACAAAGCTCTTCTTCTGCCAAAATCTTAGGTAAGAAAAAAGGAACAAGTGTCTTCCCAGGCCCTGATGTATCCCTACCGTAGGTCTGCCTGTTTATGAGGCCTCCTCAGCTGGGATGCAGCAGGACGTGTGATCACAGACAGGACGCAGCGCAGCTTCAGTGACAGTCTCACCCCATGGGCTCTGCAGCAGCACTCCGGAGCTGCCCCAAGACTGGGAGGAGAGGATTTGGCACTACCAGCAGTGCACTCTGTGGTTCTTTCTAGGAAGCAAGATGAATTTTTCACAGAATGAAAAATTGATCAGAGCTTATAACCACTGCATACACTGGTCTATCCCGGTAGGTTCCAGCCGGGCTGTGCCCAGTGGACTGCCAAGGCCAGGATAGTCTCAGCGGAGGCTCAGACTTCGTCCGATCTCCCAAGCCATTCCCAGCTGCAGGCAGCCAAGCAAGCTCAAGTGATTTCAGCTCTTAGTGATTGTCAGCTCGGTGTGATTATCAGCTCTTTTGGCTTGCTTGTGGCCGTAGCAGCAGACACGGGGAGAGAGAGCAGAAGCGCTGTATAAGGTTCCGCAGGATTCTTTATTAGGGTGTCCCATGAAGGTTCTCAGTGACAGCTTCTTCTGCCAAACCAGGCAGAATTAGGGGTTTTTATACCCTACAGAGGTTTTGAAAACTGTCCAATAGAAAGGGTCAGGGAAAAGTGACCTATAGGCTTACAGAGAGATAAGCAAGGATGCAAAGACGGAAGAGAGGGGCTTCTAAGGACCAAGTCATCGTGACTTGGCATTTCCTAGCTCAGGCTTCTGACCTCCAAGGAGGCCTTGCAGGCCCTGTGCCTGCTACACTGGTCTCTGGATAAAGAGCTCTCATCCAAACGATTTCCATATTAACACTTTGGGACCATCTTTCTGAATGCTAGTCACCAAAGTTAAAAAAAAGAACCAAACAAAACCAAAAAAACCCCAAGAACCATATGCACAAACTACATCTTTGAGCTATGACATCTAGGAAAAAAAATATACTTTTAATTTACATTCTGTCTGATATTTGAGTCATGACATTAATTTTTAAATTTTACTGCAAGCACAAAAGACCAAGAGCTTGGTCTGTGTCAAATACAACCATCCAAGTCAGGAGCTAGGGATATGTGAAAACAGCCATCAGAAGATGGGATGTAAAGCTAGTCAATCATTTCAGACAACTTTCTGGATAAAAACTGAAAACAAACTGAAAATTTTACTTGCTTTTGATACATAGGTCCCCTTTGGCTTTTTTCTAATGTCTTCAGCCACTTTGTTATCACTTGTCTGTTCAGGACTCAGATCAACACAGTGAGAGCATTGTTTTGGACTATTAGATACCATTCACCAGTGATAAAAATATGAGTGGAAACAAAAGGTAAATGAATTTAAATATGCTAATGTTACATCCCCTTTTTCCTGCATTTCACCCACATTACATAAACCATGACAACATCCAATTGTAGACTATCAGGAAATGAAAGGTTTATAGCAATCCAAAACTCATCAACAATAAGGATCAGGGTTTTATCAACCTAGGATGTGATGATATACATGAAATGTGAAACTATAACCAGAATTTTAAACTTTAGCACAATGTTTTATGGCTGTCATGAAATCGCATGTGGAATGATGATTTCAACAATATTATTGTTTTATTAAAAAAAATTCTATTGGGTTATTAAGTTAATGGCCTATGGTGGGTACACTACATTCCCAGCTATCCTGTACTAGCAAGAGCAAGAGACTTGTAGGCAATGAGGTTTCCAAAATAACTCTCTTTATTAAAAAAATTCTATTGGGTTTTGTTCAGGAGAAACTTATTAAGTTAATGGCCTGTGGTGGGTACACTACATTCCCAGCTATCTTGTACTAGCAAGAGCAAGAGACTTGTAGGCAATGAGGTTTCCAAAATAACTCTTACTGAGACAGATAAAACTGTCTCATGAACCATCATGGTCAATCCTTGTGGTATTTTAGAAACAGATACACAGAAATGTTTCACAGAGCTCAAAAGTATGCCTGTGCTTCAGGTTAGAGGTGCAGGGTGCTGGATTCATTGGCAGAGGCACGTGGTTTCACACGGATGAATTACATACACTGCATTTTGAATGATGGGGTTGCCTCCTTTTTGCTGGTCTTTACAGTCACTTTTTCAGCATGGAAAAAGTTCATCCCATATGGATGTTCAAAAAACTTTGAGTTAGTCAACAACAATTAAGTCTTTGTTTAGGGTCTGCCTGACAAGTTACTGCAGTAACTATGGGAGTGGATGTTCAACAACATCTCAGAATCCTTTAATCATGAGAAAATTATTTCCCTCAGTTCCTTCTTAGAAATGTTGAATGTCCAACAGAGGATATATTCATTCAGACAATGAATTACAATATCAAGCTGACAGTTTAGAAAAGGGCCCTTTCTCTGACACAAAGCCAAAATGGTAGAAAGACATTAGGCAGGGTCACTCTGCATGTTGCCTCTGTTTGGGCCAATTTTTTGTATTTGTAGGGCTGAATGTACTCAAGATGACAAAAGCATCAAATTGCCAAGAGCTGGAGCAGTCCCTCTGATCAGACATGAAGTGATGGAAATTTTGTGTTATTCTTAATATAAAACCCTTTTACATCTTCCTTTCAAACACATGTACCAACAGGGGACATGCAGTTCCTTTATCATTTTCTCTTTGCTGTCTCTCTTGTGGGAACTTCAGTTCTCACTTTGACTGATTCTTCAGTAATTAATAGTTTGAAGTTCTTTATACATCTCAGCATCCAGCATGACTCAGAAAACAACCATCTCTTCTCAATGGATTGTTTAGGCAATGCAGTTCTATCAATCACCCATGAAAACATATCCTGTTTTTCCTAACCATATTTCTCATTTGGACTTCTGAACATGCTTACAGGATGAGAATGGAGGATGGATGAGTAGATAAGGGGCAGCACAGAGGCCAGACAGGTCAGGCTGGATTCCTCCCTCCATCTCTCCAGTGGTGGAATCAATCTGCTTGACTTTTTTCATGGGACTTCACAACCAAAAAGGCATTAAAGGGTGTGTATGTGACTTGCACAGATGGGAAGACAGAAAGGAAGAGATGTAATTAGATATGCATTTTTAATTTAATTCAACTGAAACTATAGATTTTTGCTGCAAAAAGCCAGGACCCACATTTTCAAGGATCTAAAGCATGCAGCTTTCACTGATGTCTACAAGGCCACCAAGAACAGTGAAATTCCTGCTAGGCTGGGCTGCTGCCTCTGGCCGTTCCCACCCAGCAGTACTACCAAAAGGTGCAGAAAAGTATTGCAAAAATATTGGCTGTTGTTACATCAGTGACCTACCAGGCAGACTGAAAAGAGCATTTCTATTGTGACCAGTTGCTGAATTTACCTTCAGAATTATTTCCAGCATCAATAGGCTGCTGAACAATTTTGCCTTTATTTCATTATGTATAATGATACATCTTTGCAAGATAGCTATTCTGGTGAAACAGTCCCAAAAGGGTTGGTGTCTGAGTCAGGATCAAAGAAAATCCAATTGAATCACATTTGCCACAGTCTCCAAAGTGAGAAAAAGGACCATGGATCTGCTGAAACAGTGACTGGATTGTGTGTCTGAGTCCTTCCCTTGCCTTTGGCACTGCCACCCACCTGAAAAAATAGCAGTGAGAATAGTTGTTTCCCTGGTAGTGCTCATAAAAGAAATTAAGAAGAACCTCCAGAAGTACCTGGTGCTTTGAAGGAGCTGTTACAGAATTCAGCTGGGGTATGTGCTAAGCTTTGAATTGATCTGTCTCTGGGAAAAAGCTGAAAAAACTAAATAGATTTACTCACCCTCAGAGGCTGAAGTGAACTGACACGACCTGTGGTTCTAAACAGCTCTGTCCCCATGAAATTAATGCTGATTCTCTCTCTCCTTCCTGGCTACAATAACATTTGTGGTTAGTTTTGGCAAGAGTACAGAACAGAAATAATTTTGGCAAACCAGTTATTCTGAATACTGCTTCTCATCAGCAATCTTTAATGTGCTTTTTTGACTGATTGCTCACTAAGAAGCAGACTGGAATCTTGCAAGTCTGCCTTGTGGTCTGTTCTCATTTGCTTTTATTTACCATTTTATTACAAGAAGCTGGGTGCTTAAATTATAATTCTGAAGCTTAAGATGTTTTTCTTTGATTATTTTTAATCTAGCTGTTCATATGTTGTTCCCACTTCCAAACATTTCTATAGAAACCCTATCAATTTAATGTAAAATCATGTATAGTAATCAACTGAATAGTGTTAGCTTGCTACTTGCATATCATTCTCATGTTAACTGATCAGCAAATTAACAGCAAATCCAGTGAGACCTCTGTAAGGATTCATGTTTCTTAGAAATGCATATTGCCAAGAACATTCCCAGGTGAGGTGGAAGTGAGAGGCTGCATTTAAAAAATCTTTGTTCTGGGCAAAAAAAAAAAAAAAAAAAAAAAAAAAAAAAAAAAATCAGTCCCAGATATAATTCTTCCAAGACTGCATATAAATATTTTAACACCTCTTTGCTTGCTTTCTCCTGCTTAAGCCTGTACACTGTGTTCTGGCTATATTTTCAGTTTCTCCTATCATGGAGGAGAGACTTTTAAAAACAGAAAAAAGGGTGATATTGTTAAGAATACACAAGAAATAAAATTTCCTGAATAAGATCAACTGGAAACCAGGATCAACACCATAAGGTTCAACATCAGAAGAATCAACTGATTCTTGATATCTCAAACTGCAATTTACCCTCACTAGAAAAAGAGCGATGCTCAGACAGAAATAACTGTTCATCAACTAATGTCACTGCAGCCCACTAAAAACCCAGAAAAACAGAATTCACAAAGCAGGAAAAATGTCTAGCTTTTTTACTACACTGTCACTATGGCATTAGGAGCCAGTCAGCTGAGGAAAACATGTTTTCCTACATACATTCTGAATTTAAAGTACAAACACTTTTTTTAAATGCTCCAAGAACATGTGGGGTAAACTAACTGTGAACAGCAGCAATATCTTCATATCAAAAAGGATCAAATTTCAGAATCTCAAAATTCCTTTGTTTTCTTTCTCCTTTTCTGGTGTATCAAAGCAAGGAAGCTTTTATGTGCTGTGTTGTTTTAAAAGAAGGGAATTTCTAAGCCTGGAACTAATATTCAGTCAGTTGTTAATCAGTGAATATTTGTATGTGACCCTTCAAATTTCTGCTGTTGGATGAGGAAGAGAG